CAATCCATTCGCTATGGTCGAACATATACCTTAGCACATATTCGTCGAACTGGAGTATTTGTATCACAGTAAGTTTTACCTTTCTTAGTATCAGATCTTATCTTTTTAAAAACGATTGTACAATTTTCATTAATTAATTTTAATAGACATCAAGTACGAAATGCACTTCAGGTATTAGATCCTATAGGTGTTGAGTATCGAGGTAAAGCAATTGGTAAAAGTCGAAGTCGTAAAGAGTTTTACGTTCAGGGACCAAACCAGGTAATTTCTATTGACGGTCATGATAAGTTATCACGATTTGGATTTGAAATATATGGTGCAATAGATGCCTATTCAAGGTATGTTGTTTGGTGCTATGTTGGTATTTCTAATCGTACTGCTATTTCAGTTAATAAACAATATCTACGCTTTATTCGAAGTACTCTGACTATTCCACAAGTTATTCGTTCTGATAAAGGTAAATATCTTTTAATTTTGCATTAAATACTCTATATTATTTTTATACGAAAACTTTAACAAAAAAACTAATCTTATAATTATTTATAGGCACTGAAACTGTTTTGCTTGCAGAGTCGCATCTTTTACTTCGTCGCACAAATCATCCAAATCTTCCATTTTCGCATGCCTATTCTTATGGAAAATCTACTAAGAATCAAAGAATTGAAGCATGGTGGAATATTTTAACCGAAGGATAAACACAGGAATGGAAGATTTATTTTGCACGACTCGAAAGTGAGGGATTATTTGATGGCAGTGATATTGATAAATCCTGTCTTCAATTCATTTATATGGAAATTATTCGCTCTCATATTCACAACTTTGTAGAGGTACATAACTCACATTCAATTAGGAAGCAATCTAAACGAGACCATTATCTTCCAACTGGAAAGCCCTTTGAAATGTACTTTTATCCGCTTAACGCAAAAGATTACCAGGAATCTGTGGATGAAACTATTTTATCAACTTTGGAGTCCGAGGTTGAGGCATATGATCTCGATCCCTATTTACCTCCTGAAACTATTTCTTTCTACTCCACTCTTCTTCTT